ATTCTTTTAGACTTCAGCGGTTTTTGTTTGTTTTGCTCTGTTTTAATTTGTAAAGTTCTGCTTCTAGTACTTGTCACACCTATTTCAGAAAGTTTTATGAGTTAAGTCAGGCAATGGATGTGGAACTCTTTGTTAACTGTACAAGATATGTAAATAAAAGAGATAAATTTCAGTGTTATAATAAACATCTATTTATATGAATGCTCACAAGGAAAAATCCTTTAATCCTAATGAGTTTGCAAATACCCCCCCCATCACAAAATCTGGTTTATAATTTTACATTTCTTTTAGAAATTAATTTTAATTGAAAAAGTAATATATGTATATATACAAAATAATTTAAAACACTATAAAAAGGTATACAAAAATATTAAATCTTGATCACAAAATCTGGTGTATAATTTTACATTTCTTTTAGAAATTAATTTTAATTGAAAAAGTAATCTATGTATATATACAAAATAATTTAAAACACTATAAAAAGGTATACAAAAATATTAAATCTTGACCATTCTGGACACTCAGCCCTCTATTTTTCTTCCCTAGAAGCAATTCCTATTACTAATAGCTCGTAGAACTTCCCAGAAATATTCTATGCATATATAAGCACATATGTTCCCCTTTTGAAAACATGTGGAAGTCTACCATGCACAACGTGCTTGTTTTACTCTTTCCAACTTAACACTGTGCCTTGAATATTGGTTCATAGCACACAGATCTACCTCATTCTTTTTCATAGCTGTGTTTAATTTTATGAAGTTCTATGAGGTATTTATCTGCCCTTATTGTTCTAAGCTATTTCTAGTCTAATGAGAGTCTCTGCAGATATCACCTGAGATAATAACCTAAGCTAGATAAATTTCTAGCCAGTTCTTATAAAGACTTCACCTTAAAAAGTATTTGGGGATGGATGTTCAGAATCTAGGGCTGATGTCAGAAATAATAAAAGAAAATGATGATCCTATTTTCTTGCATAATCACATAATTGATTTCTAGACCCTTGAGGCAGGAATGGAGCAGACACACTCCAAAAGAACGTCTTAAGTGTAGATTCTTTCAACGAGAGAAATCTGATACTAGAAAATAATACTTGCCTTGAGTTATTAATAAGCCATCTGCTAATATCACCCATGACAGCAGTACTTTTTAAACTGCAGATTGCCTCTCAGTTAGTAGGTCATGATATCAATTTAGTGAGTAACAACAACCATTTTGTAGAGTGAAAGAATAAAAAAGAAAAAAAGAAAAATCATAGTGCATCATATGTAGTACTTTGTGAAACTTGATCATATCTATATATATGTACGTACTCATATATACACAAATTTGTCTAAGTATACATATACTGAGACATGATGTAAAATGTCTTTCGTACTGTTGATTGCCATTTAAAAAGTTTGAAAGCCATTGGTTTAGAAAAGCATTACTGCTGGTAAT